TGACCCATATTGGCACTCATTTATGGACTACTGCAGCATGGCCGACCTGGTGGGCATATCAGGTATCTGGCATTTTGAAGACACCTGGTGTTGCCATTAAACTTTACCCGCCAAAGCAATGGCTGGGTATGATTGCCTGACAGTAGCTGTACAGTCTTCTGGCATGCTGCAGCACATCGTGGAAGCCAGGGTCCTGAACTAAAAACCATGGCACCACCAGGTTGAGAACATGTGCCTCTGGTAGAGTAGGGTGGCTGCACTCTCCAGTCCCCTTTAAGCTACCCCTGGATGACATCCTACCTCGCTGATGCTGGGTCTCTCCTTCACTTTCCTCCTTTGCATTCTCGGGCACCCAGGTATGGTCTGTCACCTCATCATCCCCACCCTCCTCATCACTGGCACCCAATGTACAGTAAGCTACAGCTGCAGGAACATCCCTGGCAATTGATTATTTCTGCCTGAAAAAAATAATAATTGCTGAACATCCTCTTGCAGCTAGCGACCGAAGTTGTGCTGAAATAATTCTGCCGACTTTTCCATGCCAGTTTATGGGACTAGGGCGGGATTAGATGTTTAAAACTCTGCGTCTGGGAGAAAGAGGCTGATGTTATCCACTCCACTATCTTCTCCACATGTTTTAGCTGTATAGCAAGCCCACTGCCAAAAAGCAAAGTAAGATGTGCCCTGCTTCTCAAGGATGGACTTTGGACTTTGGCCTGCAAATGCATCTACATGCTCGCCCCCTACTAGCTGAACCTCTGCCTCAGCTTGACAGCAATTGCAGATCACACAGAAAAGAAAAAAGTAGTCCTAAAAAGGATTGCTGGGTCTGTTCACTGTGAATGCAATTGGTGGTACACAGTCACACCACAATGCAATTCACAGTAATGAACTGATGCCCCTGAACAGCACAGTGAATACAGAACTGAATATAGCACTGTAACTCTGTGCTAATACACTACTAGCACTGTACAAATAGCACAAGCATACACTGACAAAAGGATACTGGCAGAACTCATTTATATTGGGGTAGGGCTTTCACATTTTCAAAGCCCTATTGTTGGCCATATTTTTCATCTGACCAGAGTTCAAAGGACAGGCAAAGCATTATCGGGTTCACTTTTGGCCATGGCAAACTTGCCCATAAGCTTGCCATTTGGGGAAGGGCAAACATACAAAGTTTACCACAAACTTCATCTTTAGTTTACAATATAAGTAGTAATGGTACAAAAATGTGAAATGTTTGGTCTTTAAAGGAGAACTATGGGGTTAGGGCTTTTCCCCATAGTTCTCCTAAGGGTAAAGGGAGGACACAAACTAGCATACTCCCGTCACCCAAAGCTTAGTGTATCTCGCAAGCTACAGCTCGCGGTATACTGAGACGCCGCAGTCGGGACGGATGCCCACATTACTGTCGAGATGCACCCAGCTGCGTGATTGACAGCTGACTCTGCCTAGCTAGAGGCAGAGCCAGCTGTACCCGCCCCCTCCCCTGTCCGTTCCGCCAGTCAGCGCTGGAGGATTGGACAAGGGAGGGGGGATCCCTACAGTTACCGCTCTCTGCAGGGATAGATCGAGAAGTGAGCGAGCGACGGTATGTGTTCGCTCACTTCCCGATCTATTGAGCCGACGTGTGACAGTTTCATTGTCACAGGTCGGCTAGAACTATGAGGCTGAGTGATTTTCACTCACCTCATAGTTCTCCTTTAACATATAAAGATTTATCATTACACTTACAAATAAGCATAATATTTCTAGGCTGAACAATATTCATCCATTTATTTTTTCCAGAGTTCAACTGCTGTACTTGTTCCCGCATGTCATTTAAAGACATCAGAATATTTGGCTTCAGAGGAAACAGAGAAAATTCAAAAAGTAAAGATCAAGTCGAGGACCCAACATTTTACAGCAGCAAAATAATTTGATCTGATCAGAGCCTGCCACAAAACAACCAAGGCAAATATATACAAAGGATATCTGTGCACTGCAACCAACAATGTAAAAAAGGGACAAACAATTCACTGATTTTCTGCGGGATTTTATTGGTCTGTATTCATCTTTTATGTAAATCTGACTTTAAAATGATATTTACTTCAGCACAAAGGAAAAAGTGTTACATTCTGAAAACAATCACTTGCAATTTTATATATCTAAACAAATGCACACTAGATTGTACAGGGCAAAGATAAGACACCCATCATTTTTAAAAGCTGTCAAAAACATACATATTCTTGAATCTAAAAAGCACAAAAATACTTAACACAACTTGAGGCAGTTTGCCCGTTATACACTATACCGATTAGAAAGACTGCCATATAAAATGCCTGTGTTTACTTTAACCATTCTAATCTGTTACCGTAAACATACAACAGACATGAAAGATCACATGACTTGTAGAATACCCACAAATCCCAAAACCCATAGAAGGGAATTTATAAAAACTGGAGCAGACAAAATTTGGAGCAGCTGTGCATGGCAACCAATCAGCTTCTCTCTTTCATTTTCAAATCTTAACTGAACAAACTGTAAAGAGAAGTGGATTGGTTGCCATGGGCAACTGCTCTAGATTTTGTCTGCTCCAGTTTTGATAAATTCCCCCCATAGTGTTCTTATATGCAAATTGTGTCCAGCTCCTATGGTTGAGAGCTCAGGCCCATCCGCAACTGTGAGTCACTAATGATCCTTAATTATGATGGATGGCCTCACTTATAATATGGTGAGGGGCAAGCCCAGGCTCTCGACAACAGGTGCTGCTAAAGATTTGCATTAAGGTCTGCCCCATGTTTCTGGGCTAGCGGACATTCTATGAGGCATGTGACTATTCATGCAGGCAACTCTGGGTGTCTGCCGTACAGTAAGGAGACAGAATAGAATGCATAAAGTGATCTCAGATTCACATCAATGCAGGTTTCTGTGATGCAGAGATAATGTAGGTGCTAAGCACTATGGAAAATATGGCTAGATTGATGAACAATATGTTGTGTTTTAAAGTAAATCTTTTATGACTTTTTCCTTGATTGTGCTGCCCCTCCGGGTTTCTAACTGAACACTGTAATAACTCACCAATGTTGTACAGGTTCCATAGTCAGTTATATGCAGTCAGTACGCTACTAGAATTGTAACAGCCATAAAACCTGTATACTTAATATACATCATTAAAAAAGGATGACAATCCGGATTCCCCCTTTTCGCCATCTGAAAATATACTTTATCATTGCATAGCGGGTAAATGTTTGATATGTGGTTTATGGTAATAATAATTAAGCTTAAGTTATAGTAATTGTGACCAGGTTAGACTTGGTAGGTACAAGCAACTCTGGCATATAGAATACACCAGCCCACATTTGTGTAGGTGGATATATTTGGCCGGTGGTATGAAAAGCAATGATTTTTACCTGAAAGGAAGGTGTAAATGTTACAGTGATGTTCAGTTTTACTAAAATAGAAATGAATGATGCTGAACAGCCCCCATGACCACAGTAGCAGAAAAAATACCATAGGATCGACCAGGACCTCTGGCACATGCCTCTGTTGCTAGATTACCACTCTGGGCCCAGTAATTATGTTATTATACATGTCTGGATCTTGTAGGCTAGTTTAACAATTACTTAAAAGTGTTGCCCTATCTACACTTCCTGCTGTAAAGCAGCTTTTTGTGTGTAGGATGAGTGATTAGGAAAGTCTTTAAGTACATACAACTTATAAAGAACAAATAAGCACTGTACATTCTATTGAAAGAAGTAAGTACCTCACATGCACAAAAAGAATACATACACATGATGAGAACTTGTTTTTCACAATCTTACCCATTTGCTATGTTTGCATCCTCCATACTTGTGTCATTACCCGTTTGGCCCAAGGCACCAACCATTTATCTACATAGAGCTGTAGGGACCTTATAAATATTGTTTTTATCATGTGTGTAAAAGGCATAGGTGTGGTGTATGTTTGTGCTCTAAGTCAGAGAAATCTTATTTTTTCAGACATGTTTAAAGGATAATATATATTGATTGGCTAAAAGAATAATTTTAATAATTCGTTATATACTTATATATGGATATTGCCTATATTGGAAACCAGTTATGTGTTTCCAAAATCCAGAACAGAAAAATAAAATTTATTTTTGTCGATGCAGTGCTTAATATATGACCATAAACTCTCTTAACACTGTTATGATAAGCACCACTTCATAATTTAGGCTTCTGAATCCTTGGCATTTTGCACCAATCTAAGCCCCCAATGAAGCTTGCAGAATATACACAATATTTTAACAGCTTTAGAAAAGGAACTGATTTCACAAACATTTCAGGGAAGTACAACATGCAAATACCAGTTTCCTAGTGTTAAATATACGTGTTTAAAGGCATGGCCCGGCCATATATAGTGACAACTTCCTTCAGCTTCAACTTGATGAGATCACTTGGGTTTCAATTTCAAATAATACGCTTTATAATTCTTTTGCTTATCACTTTTAAATTGGACTGGTCCTCACAGACATTTTCAAGTGTTCTCAAAAATCTGAGACCAACATTCACTATGCCAACACCACTTGTTACTATTTGTTAGTCACGGCACTGGGCTGTGCAGCTACTAGTAAAAACTGGTGCATGATCATCTTCAAAGGAAAGGAAGATGCCTGCAACAAAAACAGGCATTGTTTGGTAAGGGAATTCAGTATATTTTAGGCACATTGGTCCATTTTCTTAAAAGAAAAGGTAATCTGAAGCACCATATGTCACCTTTGCTTTACAGTCCATTTCTATTAAAAAAAATAAAGGGATGGCTTATTAGGCTCAAAATACTTGTATTATATTGTGGCATTGATTGGACCTCCAACCCCTGATATGTTCTCAGGCTCACATGCCACACAAGTGGAATTGCTGTCTCCTAACCACAGGCAACCATATGCATTATATCCTGAGCAATACTTTCTCATACTCTCCCCTTCTTCTTACTGTGATTGGCATGTTTGTGTTATGTCTTAATTTGAAATCTATCACATAGTTGTGTATGTACCCAATTTTATGGTTGTATAAAAGACATATATTTATTGGTTAACTGCTGTGTATGCCATACTTGTTTTATAATGTGGAAAAATTGAATAGTGGTCTGGAAGAAGGGAATGTGCGCTGGAATATAATGCTGAGTAATTTCTGATTACAAGTATCTTAATATTATTGCTTTGCATAAAAGCAACTGACTGGATGCCTTACTGTCTTGGTGGTACCCAAAGAGAATGAAGGCTTCAGCAGCCCTCAACGTGGGCCCTTTTCCCTTGATGAGGAGAGTGGCACAGTCCAATGTCAGCTAGCAAAGTGTTCAAGGATAGCCATATGACAGAAGTAATACTGCTCCGGAGTCTGTATGCTTAGTGCTCGTTGTTTCCGCATTCGCCGCACTGTCTGCTGGATGTTTAGGGAGCCCACATCCTCTATTTGGGATAAACAGATATCCAGTGTGCAGAAAGTACCTGGAAGAAAAACATTGACCATCAGTTATAAATAGCATAGCCTCATATCCAGTTTTGTTGTTACTGGCATACAGCATCACAATAATATTCATACAGCAATGTCATTTTCCCTTAAGAAAACTTTTCTTAAGGGAAAGGATCATGTCACCAAAAAGGATCATGTCATCATTTAACATTATCAAATATACTAGTAGCAAAGCAATAAGGAATGTGAACAGTGAGAATGTTATTTATCATAACTAAGCATTAAGAACATACAAAAGTTATTATAAAGCTCAAAGTCCCAATGGTAGTTGTCCTCACCAGTGTGGGTACACCACATAAATACTACCAATTAGACAGTTTACCAGGTATTTCTAAGCCTTACAATGAACACCTGAGAAGAACAAGGTCTAGAATACAATCCTGATGAAAAGAAAACAAAAAGGAGAAAACAGAGAAGAAGGTAAAAAATTGCAAGAACACACTTCTAATAAAAAGAACAACAAAAGGGCCTTTACATATACTGTAGCCTAAACCTGTATATGCCATCAACAAAATTCTGGACCAAAACTTTCTGGCTTCAGGACAGTCCCAGAACCCATATTAAAATCTCCTGTTGGTTAAACCCTTCAAAATGTGAGGAAGAACAAACTGATAAAAAATGCACATCTCATGTGGCCCAAAGAAGTTGTATTGTACCCATTGCAAACCTTACAGGCTTATACCTTACCAGTGTGCTGTATTGAATGGTGTCACCATACAGTCATAGGAAAATAAGGATTTTCACCAGCACACTTTTTTTATAGTGATAATATTTTCCTTTATTCACATAAAGCAACAGGAATCACAAGCCAACATTTTTGGACCTCACAGGATCCCTTACGAGAGAAAGGGATCCTGCAAGGTCCTGAAATGTAGGCTTATGATGCCTGTTGCTTCATGTCATAAAGGAAAAGATTATCGCTATACAAAAAGGTGTGTTGTTGAAGATCCTTTTCTTGGGAGAAGGCACTTATAGATCAATCCATGAAGGTAGAATTTATAATGGACTGTGTGAATATTTGCTTACAGTTTTCCTTCTCCTGTTGTGTCCCTGGCTCTGTTCTCTATTTGATTTAATACAGCAAACAAGCTTCTAAAAAGGTCCCCTCTGTTCAAGATGAATATACTGTATTTAAAGTTTGTGTGTCAATATTAGTTTTGTTATGTTTTTACACTGTTTTTTTTATACCTTTTATTACTCTACACAGTATATAGAATCTTTGCTTTACAAACATACCTTTAATAAAAGGCAGTGCACATGAAACAGAATTGCTCAGAGTGCTCTTGTGTTTTAAAAAAAAAAAACGACAGCACAGCACAAGCTCTTTCCTTGCAAGGTCCCTGAATTGTGATTGGAGCCGTTTGAAAGGAAAAAAGGGGGTGTTGTGAATCACATATGTTCTCACATATTCTCTTGTATGGATTTTAGCGTTAGCTTTTAGACTCTGTAAACAAGCTTTTTCTTCTTTTTTCCTTCAACAAAGGATACCACTACTGTTACAGTCCTCTAAACGGGCCACTGTCTGCTGACATTTCTGTAGTACTACAAAGCTTGCAAAGGAAGGTGAATAAGTGTTGTTGCTCAGTAGGGTTCAAGTTACTAGGATCTCATCGACTTCTGCACAGTAGGCCATTCTGTCAGCCTATGTTTTTATGAGATCATGCATGTTCATATGCAATGCCTGGGTAATGCTGTATAGCCACCTTTTGCCTTTAAAGGAGAACTATGACATGAGTGATTTCCACTCACCTCATAGTTCTAGCCGACCTGTGACAATGAGACTGTCACAGGTCTGCTCAGTAGATCGGGAGGTGAGCGAACACATACCAGGTCACCTTCCGATCCTGTCACGGCTCTCTACCGTGACAGGGGGAGGGGCTGGATTCCCCTCTCCCCGCTCCGATCTGCCAGCGCTGACTGGCGGAACGGACGGGGAGGGGGCGGGTATAGCTGGCTCTGCCTCTAGATAGGGGGAGCCAGCTGTCACTCACGCAGCTGGGCGGATCCCGTCATCTACGCCGGCTGCCGCGTCTCAGTATACCGCGAGCTGTAGCTCGCGGTATACTGAGCTTAGGGTAACGGGAGGACGCTAGTTTGTGTCCTCCCGTTACCCTAAGGAGAACTATGGGGAAAAACACTGACCCCATAGTTCTCCTTTAATGTTTCCCAAAAGCAGACCGAAGGCCAAACTGTTTGAGCTTTAGTTTCTGGCTGATTTTGTTTTCTATCCAAGAGTCTGTTCTCTGCATACTTTTAATTCTAGAGCTAACAGGCCATCCTTTATTGCCATATGTTTGTCTGCGCAAATTTGTTTGCAGGGTGATATATTTGTTCTGCCCTATCCTGCGTATATGTGTTTGAAATGTCCTCTGTTCTTCCCGGTCTTGCTCGGATTTACCACAGCATTTCTCTGAGACGGAAGAATCTTCCAATTTCTTCTATAGAGAACGTCTGTCATTGACGCCACATTTTCCAGTCTAACTGCAAAGTGTTTTAAGTTCCTTTTCAGGAAGTAATATTAGTGTTTTGATGGTGAGAACTATGATTGTGCATTCTTCTCTTGGCTATCCAGTGACTGTCATTTAATCACTATGGGCCTACTTGTATATGAAAGCTGTAAATAGAGTCTTCAGCAGCTACAGCTTTTCTTGATTTTATGTTACCAGTAAACTACAAAAGAATAGAGTGTAGCTGGAGACAGGAAAGTTTTTATTAATAAATTATGATTACTGCACTTTTTTATGTTTATATAACCATGCTTATGTTTATATAATCATCTATAAATTGGTTTGGAATAAGGTAAAGCTTTTTCTTTTTAGAATTATATAAATTGGTTTGGAATAAGGTAAAGCTTTTTTTTTTTTTTTTTTAGAATTAACCAATTTTATATTCCTATGTTCTAATTTTTGCAGCATAGTATTAATTTAAAAAAAAGTAGTTAATAAAAGGGAAATGCATTTTTTGTTGTTACTTCTTTGGTTGATTACCTAGAAGTCAGAACTTACCAGCATAGGAGATAAGTGTGGTAGCTTGTACAATAGCACACTCACTAGCCTGCCCTTTTTTGGTCCCGAAATATAACTTGATCTTTAACAATCCAATAGCCACGTTTATGTTTTCTGAATCTGAGTTTAAACAATTCAGTTATAAGTCCAGTGGATCCTCTAGTCTTATGCTTAGCAATTTTTCTACTACTGTATATATAACTCTTCCGTGTATTCTTGGCATCTCTTTGCTTTCTGCTTCTACACTAAAATTTTTATGTTTTACCATGCCCATTTTTGCATGACAGCTTTCTTTCAGTTAACCAGTCCTCTAGAAAAATAGGATTTTGGTACTCACCGTAAAATCCTTTTCTCTCCGTTCATTGAAGGACACAGGGAACAGATCGGAGATCATGTACTGTAGGGTAATATCGCCACCTGCAGGAGAAGGACGCTAGGCACAAAAAAACTAAAGACCAATTACATTTCCCGTTCCAATAACCTCATCGAAGCATTGGCGGTGCTCAATATGGTATGCCTCCAACTTGTTCGCTAGACTAGTGTTCAAAAGGGCATGTATTGTCCTATCTCCACTGCCTTAGCCTTTTATTTGCAAAAAGGAACGTTCTGAAAAACTGTAGCATCTATATGTTCTTTTTGTATAAAAAAATATATTGATGGTTCCTGTTCCTTGTAAAAAAATAAACTGACAATTGCAACTTAGTTATAGGTAAAATATTTTGGATTAACAACTTTTTTTCTCTATGTGTAAAGTTAAATCTCATTTAATAGACCTTTATAATAGTGAACCAGGCTATTTTCATAATGAATCAGTTAGTAACAATGTCCTCTTTCTGGATTGCGGGAATACAGTCCACTCCCTTTCAGCTCTGGGGGATAATAAATTATAGGCCATTACTAGGAAACATGATAATTGAGATTCATCCTCTGTGTTTTACTAGTTTTCTTTATTTTATATTCCTAGATTTTGTTAGTGGATATGACTTTTATTTTATTTATTCTATTGTTATATATCGAAGCTCCAGTCTGACATGCTAAATACAGATTATAGTAGTTACTATGACCAATTAATTATTTTAGCCAGTTTGTATGTTTCAGTTATATTTCTGACTGACATCTTTAGCATTCACATTATGTATGAAGAACACCTTCCCCATGATACTGGTTGCATCAAGCTTCTTGGGCAACTGTAGTTGTAGGATATACCTGAAATACTGTAATTTTCCCTAATTTGGATTTGGACAGAGATCACGGTGTTATTTTCTTTTTTTGCGGGGGGGTTGAAACTTTTCACAGATTGCGACACCCTTTTACTATGCAGATTACTCAGTTCTGTAGGATTCTTGCCTGCTGCAGAAGATCTGCAACTATGTCACCTTTTACATTTCCAGTCCATTTATCTGAACTGTAACCACATCAGAGAAATGTTTATTCCATGTTCAATAAGATATAATTCTTTACAATATCAAATTTTCATTTTCTCTAAATATCCTTGTTTTTCAGCTGTATCATGACTAGGGATGCACCGATATATCGGCCGAAAATGACACTTTTGGCATAATGCCGAAAGTGCAATTTTCCTGCCGATACATCGGCGCATCCCTGGTTTATTTCCTCCCCGCTGGGGGCTGCTCTGTGTCCCAGCGGGGGGGGGGAGAAAGTGTGATAGCCGGCCGAGCGCTGCGGGAGGAGAGCGCTGTGAGGGCCCGGCGTCTCCTCCTACACTGCTCAGCCTCCTATCACAGTCCGGCAATGCGGTGTGGGCGGAGACAGGCCGCGCTGTCACAGGAGGCTGAGCTCTCCTCCCTACACCGCTCGATCAGCCTCCTGTGACAGCGTGTCAGAGAGGAAAGCAAGTGATCGCTGAGTGTTTGTAGATAACTGAGGACATGGTATGTGGACTATATCCTCAATTATGAATGAATGGGAATCACCTCTAGTCATGACTCTTTCTGAACTCCACTTTATTTGCCATTTCAACTTTTCTCAACGTGCTCTTGACTTTTCTTTACAAAGATAAATCTTTGCCAGTAATATGTGTGATTAGTAGCGTCGTGGAAAATAGTAAATCTTCTGTTTTTTCGATCGACAAAAGCTCACCAAGGTATAGGGTCTAAGACGTACATGGTCTTCACCATTACCCCCACAAAGCATGGTAGCTATCATATTGCAGCCTTTGGGATTTTCACGCTGGCAACTAATGGCAAGCGGGCTGACAAGCGTTAAATTGTAAAACTAATCAGGTGTTAAGTGACAACTCAGGATCAAATAAAAGATGACATGCCAAGTTATAAACAAAATCAGAAGATCAACAGTATAAACTAGAACACAAGTCAACATTACAGTAGAATATCAGGATATACACATGATAACTTTCCATAGTGCTAAGTAGCAGATACTTTGTTCAGGCACTGCGTCAGACTGAAATCCAGCACCAGTAGGTGTCACAAGCATTTTGCAGAATGCCTTTGCTGCAGTGTCTCATTACTGTCAGTAGGTGGCACACACACATGCACAGTACCAGTACATTTGCCCAGACTAGAATACCTCTGGAAGTAGGGGATGCGAAGGTACCAAGCTGCAGAAGGTTGGCAGTCATGGGGTTACATAGAGTGTTGTCTCCATCCCCCCCACCCTCATTACAACACACACAACCATACCTGTTCTTCCAATGCCTGCACTGCAGTGTACTACAATGGGAGGACCCCCTGAAGGCCCTCTCCACTGGTTTCCAATTTCATTCACAAATCCTCTCTGCTCTTTCTTTACAGCATCCCGAAAATTGATAAGAGCAGCGGCAGAACTAGGTACCCCAAAATCTGGCCAGCTTAGGAACTGCATATGGCTAATTTGCCGTCTCTCCCGACCCTGGAAAGTCCAAAAGAAATGTTAAGAAAAATAACATTAGAAAGTTAAAAAAAATGCATAAACTGTGTTGGTGGAACATTAATAAGCTAAAGTGCATGTCAAAACCAGTGCAAGCAAGCAAAAATATTCCCTAATTTGTTAAGTTACATAAACAGAAATGTTACTGTTTTTTCATGTGCAAGAGGCAGTGCACACTACTACTACACTTATACTACATCTCTCCATACTGCCCCCTCAACCTGTCCTTATTTTTCTAAAAGGGATATACCTACCTCTGATGCTTCCCTCAACAGTCTTTCTTCCTAAATCTTTTTCACCAGCCAGCCAATCTCCTCTGTATGGTATGCCAATTACATCTATGGAAAGACTGTCCACAGGTCATCAGAAATTTCACAGGCCCTCCACTCAAGTGCATAGAGTTGGAGAGATACATGCATGAGGGCAGTACTGGCAAGCGAAATAGACTTAGTTGGGAAGGGTGTATGAGACTGGGGAGGTTGCACAGTGAGGATCTCTTGATGGAAGAGCCATAGGTAAGTATTTTCTTTTTTAAAATGGCAGCGTGATGCAGGTCCACTGAGGATAAGTGTCCACTTAGTATATGAAAATAAAGGCCCCTGTAAAGATGCTTACAAAAGGAACTGAACTCTGGAAGCTGTGGCCAGAAATGCAGGCAGAGGACAAAGGACTATTCACCAGTATTGCTTGTGGTCTCCCTGCAACTGATCTTTCCCCATAACTGACTAAACATGTCTTGCACTGCGCTGTGTCTCTGTGTGTAGGCAGCCATCTTGGCAGAGCAGGACTTTGCTAATGTCAAAACCTTTTTCAAGAAGAACAGTGAGTAGGAAAGAAGGAACTTCACCAAATCTCACTCTAATTCTCCTAAGACTAACAGTCAGAGGCAGCAGTGCCTTTTATGTCACACTGCAGATATACAGCTATAAGACTGGATGTACAGGAGAGCCTAGGTACACTCACACACCAGGAAGCGCACTGCTATTTTTCAGTAATAATTTAAGACTAATAGTAATTCTTTTAGGTTACTGTATAAAACAATGAATATTTCTAGATGTCCCTATAATGTAGCAATATTACTTTTTTGAGTTCAGGTCCACTTTCAAATAAAAGTAATTGCCATTTATAATGCAAGGCTGATCATATGGTGCTTTTAAAGTGTTGTATGCAGGAAGTTACCTAAAACATTTTTTCCTTCAGTCCAAAGAAAAATAATTGTATGCAAATGTATTTATAATTACAATTTACAAGTGCTTATATGATAAGTCAATTGTAAAACTTGTGTAATATTGCCATTATTCCATGTTTTCATTTCAACTGACAAAATAAAGGAGTAGCTGCAGTGAACAGAATAAGAGCACTTTCACACAAGTAAAAGTTATGTAACCGCACAATATAAACATTTGTGTACATCTTTCGTTCATTTCAGTGGGCTGACGTAATGCACTAACTGAACAAAAACACAGCCCCAAGCTGCAGCGCATAGTTGTGAACTTGCCACGTAGTAATAAATAGGGATTTCTACTTAAAATGTAATTTCATTCAGAAAATGCACACATTTTACTGCAATAAAGTATATAGGCATAGGCAGGCCCTAATGAACCTATGTTACCTGGCGGATTCTGAGCTCTAGAGTGGTCTTTCTGTAGTGCTGGTGGTTGTCTGTAGCTGTGTTTGAGACAATCACAGCACCGAATGAGGCTTCAGATCCAGGTGAAAGAGGCCAGTACTGACCGCACTTTCTATGGCCACCTTCTTCAACTCTGTTTAGGAAAAGGGAATATAAAAGTACCTGTACGAATAAAAAAATGGAGGAAACAGCTTCTTTAAGCTAATCCCAAAACAAACTTACCGAGTTGTCATAACTATAACCAACACATTCTGTTCCCAAACCATTTGCCAGAAATCCTGGAATGTGTTTTCCATAGGTCCTGGGGACAAAGGAGAACACATAACATAATGATAAAAAAAGATAAGAGTTAAGGGCTTAAAATTTCAAGTCCTGAGCTACTAGCCAGGCCTTAAGAGTTACTAGCCACCAGTTGCCCCATCTAACCCTTTCACTGCCCCGGCTTTAACTCCTCCCCTAAACACACCCTCTTACATAATCTTATGATAATTCTTATCTTATGATAGTTGTCGCTTGTAAATGGCAGATTAGGGATTCCCGCTGCAGGAAAATGCAAGATCCTGACGCAGGAATCCCTAATCACACCTGAAATATACTGTAGGTGTGAATGGGGCCTAATATACACATACACTAAAGGTGCCCATACACCTGCCGATTATCGTACGATAATCGCGGGTGATCCTGCAATCGTACGATAAGCGGCGGGTGTATGGGCAGCGTGCGACCGATTCTACTGTACGGTCGCACGACTTCCGTCTTCCGAGCACGCTGGAAAACCTGCCGAAAATCGTACGATTTTTGGCGGGTTGGTGGCGTGGTCAGAAAGACGAATGCGGCAAGCGCACACTGCCCGTTCAGCACTGCAATCATCGGAAGGGCTTGCGATGATCGCAAGTACGATCTGCCTGTCCAAGATGGGTAGATCGTACGAGATTTTAATGGCCTTACAACCATTGCATAACGAAAGTCGTACGATGGTTGTAAGGTGTATGGACAGCTTAAAACACAATAATACACTTCTCAACGTTACACTCCCCCCCCCGCACAAATACAATAATAAAATTGCCCCCGCACACATAAATAATATAACAATCCTGGTACCCCAAAAATGTACTGTTCTTCCCATTTGGGGTCTTGACTCATAGGCTCATTACCTAAGTGCTAAATGACTTGCAGATGTTTTGTTAAAGCTTATCTCTAGGCACAATGACATTCATTTAAATATGTTTTACAATAGGCGGAAGGGGGTTAGGCGGATACAAGACCAGTCACCCTGAACAAAGAAGACAGAGCAGCAGTGACCAGTCCGTATTACAGCAAATTCATGCCCAGAGACAAAGCACAGGTGTTTTTTTTATGCTGGACTGCACCGATCTGGAAGAAGTACACAAAGGACACAAATTCAAGAAAGAATACTCATTCCTCTTGTATTAAGACAATAACAGGATTTTTGTACCTACTGTAAAATCTGCTTCTTGGAGTTCATTAAGGGAAACAGGAACACAGGATCAGTTTAATTCTGAGAGACCTGCCACCTTTAGAAGGAACTGGACACTGGCAAAACAAAAAAAAATCAAAAACATTGGCCAGCCAGCTATAACCCCTCTCGCTCCCAGCATGCTTCAGCTTTATGGAAAAGCAGTACATAGGAGTAGGTCACACAGAGGGGTACAATCTGTGTCATTTAGTAAACTCCAAAAATAGGATTTTCCGGTAAGTACAAAAATCCTGTTTTCTTTATCATCCATCAGGAGACACAGGATCAGTAGTTATTTTAAGACTAATGGGATGGCCATAAGCAGTCCAATTGAGGTGTGGGCACGATAGCAAAGCAAACACTAACAGGCACAAGAAACCATAACAATAAACATGGAGTCACCCACAGTTCAAAGAGATTCCTGAAGTACCTAAAACTGGAAGCTGGCATCAGATGAGGCCTGAACATCCACCAGGTAAAACTTAGAGAAAGTGTGAACAGAAGACCAGGTGGCAACCTCGCAAATCTGGGAAACAGGTGTCTGATACCAAAAAGAGCAAGAAGCACTCACAGATCTAGTAGCATGTGGTTTGACAGGAAAGGAAAGAACTTTAATGCTAAATAATAGTTTGCCTGAACCACTGGGAAATAGTGTAACAAGAAACTGGTTCCCCTTTACAAGATCCATCAGAAATGAAAAGAGTAAGTCAGTCTTTCTAATGGAAGAAGCAGCTACAAAATAAACAAACAGCCTAAACCACATTCAGGCAATGAAGGAACATCTCCTTTGGATATACTGGAGTCAGATAGAAAGATGGAATAATGATGTCCTGATTGAGGTAAAAGCAGAAACTACCTTAGGAAGAAAGGAGGCTCTGGGCCTGAACATGACCTTGTCTTTGTGTAAGCTCAAAAAGGGTTATTTACAAGAAGAGCCTGCCAGCTCAGAAACGTGTCTGGCAAAGGTAATGGCTACTAGAAACACAACCTTATGAGTGAGATTGGACAGGGGAATATTCCTGGCAGGTTCAAATGTGGTATTTGTAAGCTGAGAGAACCAAATTTAAGTTCCATGGAGTCACAGGTGGTTGAAGAGAAGCAGCTTTATGAGAGACACCCTGAACAAACGTAGTTCTGGCCAAGACGGAATTCTGTCCACCTCCTTTGCTGCTGCTAGAATTCTGGGTCCTTCCTGATGTATAACACTGCTACGGCGTTGTCTGGCTGAATTCGAGTCAGATGATCCTCTTGTCAGGATTGCCAGCATTGTAGGGACAAACAAATCCCTCTTAGCTCCAGTATGTTGATAAGGAGATGAGACTTTCTGGTAACCAATGCCCCTGCTCTGTTGTTTAGGACTTCTGCTAAGCCTATCAGGCTGACATCCCTCCTGAGAATCTTCCAGGATAATGGAAGGAAGGTTTTCTCTGACTCGAGAGCTGAATTCCTGAGCCACCAGGCCAGAGAAAAAAACTGGGCAAATGGGACTGCCATCAATGCCAAAACTCTCATGCAGAATTCCAGATTTGGATGGCTACTAGACTGTAGAGTCTAAATCTGGGAACAGAACGTTTTAAGTATTTCTTGTGAAAGAAGAACTTTGTACTGAACTGTATCTAGAATGAGACCCAGATACTCCAATACTCCAAAAGGCAGTTCCAGCACAGATTTTTGAAGGTTCAGGATCCAACCAAAACTTTGCATGGTCTGAACTGTCCATGTTGCATTGTCAGTCAGAGACTTAGCAGAGCATAGCTAGGCCAGCACAGGAGCTAGGGCTGTTAAATACATGGGTTTCTGAGGAGAGGCCAAAAGGCAGGTCTACAAACTTGAAGTGTTGAGCACTTACAGCAAAGCAAAGTGCTAGTGTGCTGGAAAGATTGGGGCCTGCAAGTAGATATCCTTGTGTCTACAGAGGCCCGAAAGTCTCTTTAATGAAGGGAGGCTATGACAGACCACCTGGTGGATTCTATGCAAAACTTTCGGACTCAAATTAAGACACTACGTCCTTTACCCAAGCATTTGTAATGCTTTCTGGCCAGGTGTCCATAAAGGCTAACAGACCCCCGCCTCCCACTTTGAGTTACAGACTTCAGTTAGGTTTAAGAGTCCAGGCTTATGGATAAACTGGGACCCTGGTTTGTGTCCAAGTTTAAAAAATGGAGCCTGAGGGAAATATAAAAAAAAACTCTTCTTGGTCTCAGAAGTGGCAGGAGCCTTTTTTATGTTGAGGCCTAGGATTCTTTGTTGCGATAAAATGTACTCTTGCCACCAGTGATATATTTGATGAAATTATCTAAAAAAGAACCAAAGGCATTCCTCTTTAAAGGCATGCGAAGCAAGCATGCGGTATATGCCTGTTCAAAAGACCAACATTTCAGCCAAAGAATCGTCTGTATATTCATGGAAATAACACTCATTTTGGAAACTAGACGAGCAATGTCAGCTATGCCATCCATAGAACAGTGTAGGGCAACGGGAAAAGCTCTAAACGTTGCATTTGCATGGAATCAGTACAGATAGCAATTGGATTCTGAGACAGGAGTTTAATCTAGTCCCCTAATCTTTGACATACTGACATCAAAGCCACAGTGGACTGCATAACAGGACCTGCTAGTGAAAACAGGGAATTGGAAAGCGCTTCTATGCATTAGTCAGCAGAATCCTTAAACACTGGGGGATCCTTGAAACGCACAATGAGTGTTTTGTTAAGGCGGGAAATTGCCGGGCCCACAGTTGGAACAGTCCACTTTTTAATAAAGAACTCCAATATGCGAAAAGCATATTGCCGCAGATAGTAAAAAGAACCCCAAAAAATTTTACCAATATATTAACAGTAAAAAGGTGAGAAAGGAGCAGATAGGCCCAATAAAGGATGGAAGCGGGAAGCTAGTCACAAACGACAAGGAGAGGGCCGAGGCGCTGAACGCTTTTTTCTCCTCAGTATACACTCGGGAGGGAAACGGGTTTGACACACATGATAAAACTCCCAGTTTAACTCAAAATATACCCCAGTGGTTGACAGAAACCGGGATACAACAAAGAAATAAGCACAACCGAAGGTGGCGCCAAACAAACAATCTTATAGTCCAAAATAGTGTTTTAGTGACAGGAATATTAAAAGGAAAACATGAAAGGCATAAAAGGTTTTGGAAGCTCAGCAATCACCCTCCATCAGGGCTCCATACGATCCAAAAATCGGGGCTAATACATATCGAAAGAAAATGCTGAGAAAAACTATTTAACACTATTGAACTTTAAGAATGTTTGTTTGGCACCCTCTTTGGCTGAAATACATATTGACATCTCAGTTGACCTCTGTTCTTAGAGGAGGCCCCTGTTTTGTGGAGAGCTGCCAAATACAAGGCATTTGGTCTTATTCAATACTTTTTTCACTACAGGAAATCCGTATCCAGCAGCTCACTTGACACGGATTCTAATCCTTCCCCATTCTCGCCAATACTAGAATAAAAAAAGTTTTGCCTTTACATACAATTTTATGTCATGCAATAATACCATCTTTAGCCAGATACCAATATTGCACTCAGCCACTAACCTGCTCCTGTTACTAGCACATGAAACTTGTACGTCTGTCATTACCATTACGTTATCTAACTCCTGCAATTTTGTCCTCGACAATGCAATGCAAAATACTATAGTGAAGATATAACAGAACATTACATGCATCCAGAAACCCAAAGCACAGAACAACTTTCTCTATATCCCACACACTGAAAAACAAAGAAACTCCTATCACCACCATCACAGATTAAAAATGGCTGAATGTCAACAATACCACAGAACATCTCCTAATCCAGGGGTAGGCAACCACGGCACTCCAGCTGTGTTGAAACTGCAAATTCCATCATGCTTCTACCACTGGCAGTCATGCCTCTGGCTATCAGAGTCTTGAAATGCATCAAGGCACCTGTAGTTCCATAACAGCTGGAGTGCCAAGATTGTCTACCCCTGTCCTAATCATATCGAATAGCAGGCAAACCTTGATGTATGTTGGGGGTCCTGTGGAAGAATAAGAAGTACCGCTTAGAGTACCCAGCTTTGTACTGTCTTCATCATACAATCAAGCTGTTTTTATTTTATGTAAAAACCTGCCCTTGTTACCTTGGGTCCCAATGTACGTATTCTTCTGTAGATAACCATCCATAAAGCTTGCATTTATATAGTCTGACCGCTAGAAGAGAAATATAGAGCTTACTCTGCAAATAATGTATAAACAACTTACAAACAAAATATGAATTAAAGTGAGCTTATTAGTAGATCTATTTATACAATCAAGGTTCAGTAGCTGCAGGTTGACCCTTTCACTAATTTCTGAAACAGAAGTAAAAATGGCCATCCCCAATTTCACTCATTTCCTTTTAACAAATCTTTGATGGGCTTTTGTTCACATCAGAACTACTTCTCTTACTATTTACAGTATGTCAATGGGAACACAAATGCAGCTTAATGCAGTTTAGGAAGAGGGCAAATGCAGGGCAAATGCAGGTCAACTGCAGGTTAAATGCACTTATTGTTACTTATGATCTCAGAAGGTTCTCAACTAATCTTAAATTCAAGCTGAATGTGCCTGAAAGCAAGTTGGATTTGCCTATTGACACCCTAAAGTAGATCTGTGCCCAGAGAATGCACACTAAAGTATTTACATATTCTGAGCAAGCAGTAAAAGCACTTTAAGGGCCCATTCACACCATGACACTATGGTAAAGCGGGCATTGCCATAATGCATGTTACGTGTGTTACTATGATGCAGTGTCACCATTTCAATGGCATCCTAATGCACCTTGCCAACGGACATGCGTTGCACAGGAAAGCGCGACTGGGGGCAACACAGTAACGTGCAAATGAGCCCTGAACCAAGCCCTCATTCATCTCGGTTTCTTTAAGCATTGTGGAGAAATTTAATCTTCAAAGTTCACAACATAAGCATTGAAATCTTACCTTTTTTTATGAAGAGTATATCTTGGCAGCCTGCCAGCCCTCTACTGTAAACAACCAGCAGATGTTTCTAATTTGTTAGAAACCAACTTAAACCTGACTTCTGATATTTGTTGATCTTTGAGAAGGTAGTTATTTTAATGCCCATAGTCTGGGCACAGAACTACTTTAAGGTGTCAATAGGTGAACTTTAAGCATACGATTATCCTTGCTACTGGCTTCCAAATAACTTTGAGGTTTGGTAGGTATTTATCATAAGTGATCTTAAAATAGACCTAATATGATATCCCATCTCTCTGAGACACCTGCTGCTCTGTGACTGACCTATAGGACACTACCCAGAGTACTACCCAGAGTTTGTCAGCTTTTCCTGGAAAACGTATTGCAGAACAATATGGAAATCTATAAATCTATGAAAAACAATAGATGACAGGGTAGAAGCCTCTAACTGCTGGACACACTGAAGGGTTAAATGGCTCTGTTTTAGTGGGCTGAAAAATCCTTAGACAAACTATCCATCTACATTGTATAATTTAATTGGAAAAAAATCTACAGAATGGGCCCATAGTACACTTTTAAACGTAAAAAAGAACTCTGGGCAAATAAAATCTTAACCTTTGCAGTGTGGCTACCCCTGCACTACACGTCTGAAGTGCTTGTGCTCGCTTTGCCTAGGGAGCTAAAATAGCAGAGTTATACTCATCTGAACCATGAACCTGGCTGGCTGTTAGACCAGTCCCTTCAGCCTCTCTCCCCCTCCACTCCAGCAGTCTAAGGTCCTGTGTGTCATCACATCCTAAACAGTGTATAAGACATGAGGACAAGGAAGAACATTCCATCGCTGGAGCGGGGGGACAAGCTGAAGGGATCAGTCTAGGAGCTGGGAGTGTGGGGGTAGACCCACTGCAAGGGTCAAGATTTTATTTGCCCAAAGTTCTTCTTTAACCCAGCTACTATAGTAGCAGACGTATTAGCCCCATATCGTTTAACTAGCTAGATTGTATCTATAAAATATAATTATTAGCTATTTTCTCTAAGAAAAGTCAAAATACTATAGCATAGCAATCAACATGCATTGCGATCTGCTGGACTATGTAGGTTTTGAAAAGAATGTAATCTAAGGTCAGTTATAAAAGAACCCCAGCCAGCTTCCTTACAAAACCATGCTACATGTAAGCGTTTCATGTGAATGCTAATGATATAGGAATAATAATTACATCATGCCAGTTTGCTCGTTTTAATTTGACCCGTGTTTGGTCCAGGCATGGCACATCTCCATAGCGATTCCGATCTCGATTTACAGGTGACCTTACAATGAAAAGAGAGAGAGATTTTTCACGTCTGAAGGTATACAATATGCAAAAAGTAAATATGCCCCAAAGGAACAATACACTGTTTATAACATATTCATGATACAATCAAAAGAAAACTGGTGACCACAAAAAACTGCGTTGAAGTTGCAATTTTTCTCCAGCAGGAAACATGGGTACATGCTAATTTCACTTCCAGAAATAAAATATTACACATTGTGGCATATACAGTATATGGCTATTAATATAGGACATTGTCTGCTAATGGTACCAGAAAACAAAACAAGACACTGCAATAATAACAGAGGCTCAATTCACAAAGCTAACACACCAGGATAAGGATACCTATTGTTTAAAAACCTATTTCCCGCTGAGTACAATAAGATTAACAAATAAGGCCACATAGCTAAAATGAAGAGCCTTATCTTTGTGATAAAACTTTGTGAATTTAGCCCAAGGGGTGTTAAAAAATGTAATGCAAAATGAATGCCCTAGGCTTTAGTGAACCATTATATTCATACTGTAACAAATTGGCCTACTGCTGTAATCTACTGGTTACTGGCTATAAACGCAGCAATACTTTTAGGGATCTGTTCTTTTGGAACAGATTTCCTGATAAACCTTCATTCTGCCAACATACACATCCTCTATTCAGTGCATTTTGGGTAATCTCCCCACTAGTTCTGAGGCAGCAATAGGGTAAGCTAGGATATTTTTATTGCTACCCAACAGACAATATGTAAATAATGCCCTGTAAAATCACGACACACCAAATTGTTAGCATTATTGATATTTTAATTTATCGGTAGAGCTACTTAAAGTGTCAGTAAACTCAAACATGGGGTAGGAGGGGGAGTGGCGGTGCATTGAAGTCAATAGCACCGCAGCCAAGCCCCCTGGCCGCAGTGTGATCGCCCGCACCAGAATGTATGGCACATCAATGCCTGCATTCCGCTGCAGTCAGAAAAGATAATGCATGCAGCATTTTTTCTAACCGCACCGGACCGGAAAGCAAGCATTGATGTGCCGCGCATTCCAGTGCGGGTGATCGCACTGCGACTGGGGTGTGTGGCTGCAGTGCCATTGACTTCAATGCACCCCCACGTTCCATCCTGCCCCAGAACACAGTGAGCCGGCCGAGATGCGATCCAGTGCGTTCTGGCACCAAATTGTTCCGAAACGCCCCATGCGTTTCGGAACGATGCTGCTGTGCTGTGCTGCTGCTGTGAACTAGCCCTTAGACATGCATGTTCCTCCCTGCTGGCAACTGGGTCTTGCAGACATTAGCTGTGCAATCTGTTCCAGAAACATGTCTAATAGAGTGTAATAAAGCAACTGATCAGCAGATTGAACAGCTAAGGTGTGCACCACCAAGTGGCCAGCAGGGAGGAGCATGTATATCTACAGGGATGCCAAGGATGTGTTCTTTCAGACAAGTCTCAGAGCTTGCTCACGCTTTGAACCTATTCTCCTTCCCACTATCAGATAGTGAGGTGCAGAGGTACATGAGCTACATCAAGTGATTACAAGATAAAAGTGGCAAAACAAAAGTTGTTTGAACTTAGTGAAATTATGTGATTTATGGTTTAGTTTTTTAAAGGTCATATGCAATAAGTAGTTCTGATGGGTTTACATATATTTTAATCTTGTTTGTGGAGTTTTTAAATATTTTAGTAGGTTAGGGCCTTCATTAATATATAATAAAAATATTAATAAAGACAGTGTATAAATGTATTTAAACAAATCTAGTGTGCAGTGATTATAATGAGACATTGCACACATATATTTTTTGTGTGTTAGCTGTACTGTTCTGTCTGACACTAGCACCTTTAAGTGGTGAATGAAGTAGTATTTGTAGGGTGTCCTCACAGAGATAAAATAGAAACCATGCTTATCGTTAGTGATGCTGACATTGGTTGTCTCTCTGTATATAATAACAGCAAAAGGAAATCTAACACAAAGCAAAATACCCATGTGACAAGCTGCAGATGGTGACTACAATTCTGAGACTTCAGGACTGCAACCCAAGGCAGAGGTGTCACTTGCAATGAAGCTAAATTGATTCAGCTTCACTGCACTAAAACTAGAATGCAGTCCAGGAGTCAACATGTGGCAGCTTCTATCAGAACCTTCTTAAACAGGTATTTAGCTTCACGGCAGTCTCAGTTTGTGACCTTGCTGGGCTTCCTGAATTAATACTTTTATTTCCCTTTTTTTCTTACACAAAATCTCTTACATTGTTCCTTGCTTTCCATAGGACAAACTGCTTCCCCCATCGTTATATACTTTTTCATAAACTTACAACGACACTGTGAAAGTTCCCTCTGGTTGCTCATTCCTTATTTCTTCATATTCTTCATACACTCCACGTCTCCCCAAAGTAGTAACGTGTTCCTTCAGCTGAGCCAAGGTCATGCTTCCAGGTACCGGTTTATGGACACTTCCTCTCTGTCCATCTCCGAGTACCAGAACCACCTCATCAAGGGGATCTGGTCTTCCTGTGCGGCCAGGCAGCAGAAGGCAATTCCAGGAGCCAGGATCCCAGGGAAGCAGTCCACCTAGAGACTCTGGGAGACACTGCGGAGGTAAGTGCTGGAGAAGTTCAGTCATGCTCACCATGTGTACCTGTAGATATGAAAGAAAGAATGTTTTCATGTAAGCATGTAAACGCTTTTGAGACTTTCTTATCGCTAGATACCAGCTGGGTGAATTACTCACCAGCTTCTTAAAACATTTGTAGATGTTGATGATGCCTCTAAGCACCTGATTCCCAAATCTACCTACCTGCCATGATCGTTATGACCTCTCCTTGTTTCATTTTTTATGTATTTACTATAGTGGCCAAAAAATACGGCAAGACTCCTCTACAACTGGGAACTACAGTAGACAGATTTTGGCACTAGAGTATTAATTATGAGTTCTAAAGCCAAGTGCCCCTAGTAAAACTGTCAACAAACTAAGACAACTGTGCATGTATTACCTTGTACACCCACAACACACACAAATAACTTACCCTCTCTCTTAACTTTTCCTTAAGCAGCAAGCTGATGATTGAATATGGCACTCTGAACCAGACAGGAGGAGAAACGATGAAGACTTTCTTTAGACGAGCTGGAAATGCTCCCTAATGTAAAAACATGGGATATGCTCACATCGCTATATTCAAATATATTCAATTCTGTGGGTGGGGGCGATGGTAATAGGCCTGACAAACTAGGCATTTGCTAGACTCCTTGCGCCTACTGAAGAAAGTGTTGAGAAAAATGTAAAAAATATTGTGCAAAGTGAATAGGAAAGCACTTCAACTTCCGTTCACAGGTCACCAGTGTATCTAGTGCCTTAAACATGTGACCAGAATGGCCAATGGGCAGATATGAGTAGGGTTGCTAACATTTTTACTTCAAAATCAGAAGCAGTTGGGGGAGCTCATAGTTTAAAGGAATCAAAAGCCCTATGGGATTCCTGGACACATACCATGGCTAATAGTTTTGATTTATGGAGGTTGTAGGTTAAAAGAAAATGTGTCATGAGGTAACATGAAGGCTACTAACCTTTACTTCTGAAAATACTACTTGCGTACCTGCCATGCTAATCTTCTTACTTCAATACTTTGATTCACTGATGCACTATGCAGATAAGGACTTCTGTCTCTTCCCATATTTTCCTGATCTGTGTTCTTGTTCTGGGTCAACACCATTCAGTATTGAAAAAAGAGGGCCAGCATCACAGCTACTAGCATTTTTAGAAAGTGCTTAACAATGGCAGCACATGTATTTTACCCATGACATACTTACTTTAAGAAAAACAGGGCTATGTGAATTTAACATAAACAGGGCAACTCACTAAAGTTGGCAGCTCTAAGATGAAGTGATACCTCAACTAGAATATTCTTCTGTAGGTAAAAACCAGGTCACAACCATTAAATTAAAGAAGAAACGAAAGTAAGAAATGCATTCTCCCTTTTGTGCTCGGTGACAGAAATAAATTGTTATAGTTTACTATGATGTAGCGGTATATATTAGATAAGGATCACGAATGGCACATACCATAGGTGTCCTGGAAAATGTAAGGAAACATAAAAACCCTGACCTAGAGTTGAAGTGATGGGTTGATTTTATCAGGACAAATAGATGAATGGAGGTTACACTCACCCTCAGAAGGCTCAAGATCTTCTTGCTTAATTCCAGCTCAAAGTTGTTGTACTGACTGCCCCCCATATCATAGATAAACACCAGGCCATTTCTCTGTGTGTCGACACTGCAGCGAGAGTGCACTATGCTAGTCTAGAACTGAACAGACATGCTTGCTCTGACATTGAAACACAAATTATTCACATTCTCAAACCCCAGAGAAGAATGGTGTGAATTCCATATCAGTATTGGAAACCATTACTGTAATATTTCAATGCAACTACTAAAATAAAGGAAACAGATAAAGACACAAACTGCACTAAATGCAATCACTTTAACATGTGAGGGCTTTCCAAGTAAAGGTGTAAGTAATTATTTATAAAGCATAGGGCCAAGTGTACAATCAACTAATTTGTCTACAGTGGTTATATTAGCAGACTTTAAAAAGAGGTCTACAGGACACACTGTGCATCCTACTAACGTTTCATGACTGTCCCTATAAATGGTACATAAAAAAGCACCACTACCCAGAAGATAGAACGCCAAAACAATTAGAAATAGGTTTACTTTCTCAACTACCACCAGTCTTAGGAATACATATAAAGGCACCTCTTCAGCACAACTGCATGTTCCTTTATTTTGTCAGTTACATTTAAAGTGACACTGAACTCAAGAGTTAAATCTTCAAAATGCGTTCAAGTACCTTAACTATTAACAAAAATGTATCTTAGATGTGTATCACTCAGCTGTAGATCCTCAAATTATCTCAGTGTCCTTCCTTCTGGAGGGTGGCTACTTTTGTTCCCCATGGTCCCTGTGTGTGTTGTAAAGTAGTCACCGCTCCAAGCTCACTCCTGCGATGAACTATAATCTCAATACAAATTAGTAAACTAAACATGAGATTGTAGTCCAACACAGGAGTGAGCTTGGATCGGTGACTACTTCACAACACATACAAGGACCACAGGGAACAAAAGTAGCCACCCTCCAGAAGGAAGGACAGTGTCACCACCAATTCAGAGATGATTTGAGGATCTAGAGCCGAGTGATGCACAAATCAGATACATTTTTGTTAATAGGGTCCTTGAATGTATTTTTCAAATGTAATTATTGAGTTTAGTGTCACTTTAAGCACACCATAGTCCTCTGTACTCATTAATGTATCATATTATTTAACAATACCATTAAGTATAAACATATATGCACAATAAATAGACAGAAATACATTTGACATTTTGTGCACCTCCCCTTGTTCTAGCTTTCCTCTAGTGCTGGACCACATTCATATCTAACCACTGACACTAGTAAACTGTGCTCCATCCAGATGTACAGCTGAAATACATTTACTGCGATAGCTCTAGTTTTGCTAATAGGAAACTTGTACTGAGAGAATATGCAAGCTGTCACTGCTGAACTCTCCTTGTTTGGCTGTCACGTTTGTCCTAAGACTTCAAAACGTTTTAAGTCTCTAACCCAGAACAAGTACACTAATAAAGAGTGCTGGCTTTTCTTCAATGTCCTGACACCTTATAAAGTGTCAACATAATGTTATTTGTTTTTTTGTTAGCTTTTGAGTATACTTCTGGTAAGAGGAATGTGTGACTTCTTCTGAAAATGCTAGTCACCTGGGTAAGTCTGTCTTCAATACCTCACAGTCACAGACCTGGGACACGCATGCAATTGAAAGTCAGAGAAATATTGCAATACCTAAACTCTAGACTTATTCCAGGTCTATTAAAGTATTAGAGCTTGAGAATCTAGACCATTAGCATTTTCAGAAAAAGAGGTCAACAATGGCAACCTACTAGTTTCTCTCATGACATGTATTAAAAAGCAGTTATTGAGCTCTAGTCAAGTTACTGAGCTTAGACAATGTAGTGTTTTGGCAGGTAAAAGAGCAATGGACAATAGGTCTTTAATAAAGTCAAGACACAAGCAACAAGTGCAGTGGATTGTGCAGAAAATCACTTTAAGGGCCTGTGACAACAGGCTTTGGGCTTGTGTTGATGGCATCAGTTTGACTTCTTAAGAAGACACTTCTAAGATTATACAGAATTCACTGACAGGTGCATTTGACATGCAGTTGACTTCATCCTGACCTGCATTTGAGCTGGGTTTTGCATCCCTATAGACTTGAGTGGAAATACAAAGCCCGTCTGATGCGAATAAAAGCCCAATGACACAGGACCTTATATAGACAATAATAACTAATAAACTGCACTTAGAAAACTGCAGTCTGAAGTAGGCTTATCACAAACCCTCCAACTCCAGATCAATGCTTTACCCCCCTAGTGTTCCAAGGGATACCCAGGAGCCACCAGACCTCAAACACAGAGCCCACATGTGCTGTGGCTGGTGGCTCCTTGAAACTTTGTCCGTTACTCATTCTAGATTGACTCCAGTTTTTTGCAGCTTCCCTTTATAATGGAACTAAGAGGGTACAGCACTGATCTAGAGTTAGAAGGTTTACAAGGACCATATTGTGGATTTCTGATACTTTTTCACAAGCCAGTATGATCTGTTTCTTTGCGTTGATGCTTGATGTTTTAACTTGATGTTCTATATCGCCTATAGATATACACAGAGCAGGATTAAATTGTGATAAGGCAATCCCCTGGTAAGCATGTTTTGTTACTTTTGTGTTTTTAGAAATAAAGTCTACTACACAGCCACTGGGATTCCCATGAATGTGTTACCCTTGAGAAACATCCTGGAAGTAAATGCTGGCCCTACATGATGCCTAAAAATAGTGCTGGCCTAATGGGTAGAAAAGAAAATAAGGCATAGTCAGGGGGAATCGTTTTTGACAGGTAACACACATCTGCAAGTGACACATACCAGTACCATTCACTTGACATATATACACTTAATATGACAAATATATTTGGTGGTTCTTTTATTTGCTGTAGTTATGCTTACAGACTAAGTACTGGCTAATGAGTAAAGAATCTGCAATGTTACCTCATGCTACCATGCAAGTACTTTGAATATTGTCTGACTATCACATATTGTAATTGGTGAGGGTGCTCTCCGCACACCTTTCAGCAGTCCCGGCCAGTAGAGATGAGGTGCTTGCAGTAACTCCCACGGATGGCACAGTGTAATGCACAAAGTAGAAAGAATAGGTTACCAGCACTCAGATTGCTTTAGATAAGTACTTTTTATTGGACATACGTGTCACAATAGTCAAACAGCCGACGTTTCGGGGCCACGCAGGGTCCCTTCCTCAGGGCAAAAGATGTCTTGTCTTTTGCCCTAAGGAAGGGACCCTGCGTGGCCCCGAAACGTCGGCTGTTTGACTATTGTGACACGTATGTCCAATAAAAAGGACTTATCTAAATCAATCTGAGTGCTGGTAACCTATTCTTTCTACTTTGACTATCACATATCACTTTCAGGTAATGCCACCTATAGAGTAAATTCACAGAAACTGCTTGTTCCTTTAGTCAGATTTCCATTATTATCTACATATTAAACAGTGGTTTTCTTACCAATCTCTATTGAAGTGTGTAGATGAAATACTGACTCAATGATAAATTCAGCAACTGCAAGCTCTGTGGTTTCCTGAACAGGCATGCATTTTAAGAGTACGTGACATCCCCATTATAACCAGTGTCATGAGTTCTAGCAAAGGGAAATGCTTTAGAAATACGATATAATGTTCATTTACTTTGTTGGAAAATTACAGCTCTAATTTGTCTAAGCATTTAGACTTTTTGTTGTACGTAGGATCTACTAAAATGGCTCATGATAAGTCAGAAGAAGACCTTTATATAGCAGCCTTACAAGCCTACTTACTTATATACTCCATGGAGCAGCAGCTCATAAAGAGCCTTGGTCCTCTGCTATTTGCCACAGGTTTTACAATTCTTTGGGGGTTGTCAGCCGCATTGCCCAAGCCCCAACCAGCAGTACCAGGGTGTCCAATTTTCTTTGACTGATATTGAGCAACCTTCCATGATGGATGACCATACTGACTACTATGTTCCTGACAGGAGAGATCTCAGTATCATTTGACAAACCCCATCACTATAAAGTAGGAATAACATTGGGGACTATAAACCTACACTAAACCCATATAGCAGACACCTATATACTTGGGTATGGGTATGGCACGGTCAAGTTGCCTGGTAATGGCAGATGGGCAGAAGTACAAATTTTGTTGGGTTTGTTAAGCCCTGAAGTCTCCAGGAGATGTCATCCTGACCACAAACCTCTATGTGATTCAAGATGAACTCCAGTATGTTTTTTGTTATACATCACAAGTCTTATTATTTACCTGTAATGAAGTATATCCTACGTGTGGATGGCTGCTTCTTACTATACAAATCCTCCCTTCAGTGATGCCAGATCTTAGACATAGTTGCGATCTCCCGGCGCTGTGGGGGTTAACACCCGCATCTGCAACTGTGACGGGTTTCCATCATTTGCCCTACTCTTCCTCCCCTCTTTGCCCATTCACAAACTCCTTCAGGGGAATTTATCAAAACTGGAGCAGATAGACTCTGAAGCAGTTGCCCGTGACAACCAATCAGCTTCTCTCTTCAGTTTGTTCAGTTAAGCTTTGAAAATGAAAGAGAGAAGCTGATGCCATGGGCAAATGCTCCAGATTCTGTCTGCTCCAGTTTTGATAAATTCCCCTCATTGTACTGTTTTCACAGAATGCAAGGCGTTTTGTAAAAGGGCAGAGGGAAATCCTGCCATTCATTCCCCTCCCCGCCATCCATTCACAGAACACCTTGCTTTCTGTGAAAATAGGCACACCTAAAATGAGCAGAAAACAATCGTTTTCTGTGCTTGGTTTTTAAGTCATGAACATTTTAGCATGGCTTGGAAGCTTTTTTTGAAGCCAATTTAAAGTTATTTTGTGTGGAATCTTTTGTCTGATGATACGTTTTTCATCAAAATGTTCAGCTAACAAAAAAAGGCTGGAGGTTGAATTGGTCTTCTTCTGCATGAAATAAACATTTCATTATTACAAGACTATTGCTGATGAGTTACTTTATCTCCACCTGGAATAGCTCCTTGTTCAGCGCTCTTCAATAGACACCTCATAGAAACTCACTGGTAACACCAGCAATAAGGTAGCTGTTTTTTTGGAAGCTAACCCCATGCAATATTTTTACATATAGTAAAGGGGCCCGTGTTAACAGACTTTAGGCTAGGTTCACACCTAGGCGTATTGAATATGCGCGTCTGTCGCGCGTTTTTTTTTACCGCGATTCGCGGTAAAAAAGTCGCGCGACCGTCGTGCGATTCCGAAGGCTACTTGGCTGTATCCCAATGTAAAACGCCCTACAAAACGGCCCAAAGAAGTACATGTACTTGTTTGAGCGTAGGCCGTTTTGTAGGGCGTTTCAGACGGGCGGAAATACGGAAAGGTGTGAACCAGACCCATAGAAAACAATGGGATTTTCATGTTTGTACGTTTTGTTGAGCGTTCATAGAGCGTTGAACGCGCGACAAAACGTAAAGGTGTGAACGGGGCCTTAGGCTTGTGTTATATGCATTCTGCATCTGACATCTTGAGAACATTCTGAGATCATTCACAGCTCACTGTAACCCATGGTAATGAAAATACCTTGGCTATTATGTGCTTGTGCTTTTGACACTATGGTGCCTTTTTATTATTTGCCAGGAAAGCAGCATTCCACCCAACTGCTATGGCCATTACAAACTGAAATGATGGTGTAATGCTCATCCAGTGTATTCTCCATACTGTTACAATGAAGTTGTTAGGGAGCTGCAAAAGAATGAAGCTGGCCATACTCCAGTAAAAATTTACAGTGGTACCTCGGTTCACGCACTTAATTCGTTCCACGATTCTGGTCGCAAACTGAATTGGTTGCGAACCGAATCAAATACGGTATGTGCTAAAAAGCACACAAAAAAGTCTGTCTGTGACCGCAATCTCGACTAGAGGAAGCCACGACCACGTGTCAGAACGGGGAAGATGGCTGCGGTCGTGTTCGCCACTCGATGTGGAGTTCGCAAACGGAAGCAAAATTTTGCCGAACTTTCTGTTCGCGAACCGAAGCGTTCGTAAACCGAGGTATTACTATATTTTCAGAATGTTTGAAATTATATCATAGTTAATGAGGTCAAATTGATGATCATTTCAACTGCAGTGCTGAAAAAAAGCAGGATGACAATTTTTCTGAAAATGAAAGAAAATTCTAAAAGTGAATGTGGTTTTCAATCGGGAAACTCCATTTCATCCAAAATCGAATGTTAAAATCCAAGTAAATTTCAAATGAAATTCATCAAGTCTCTAATGGAATTATCGAATATGAATCTACCAGCTTTATACTTTAGTTATAATCTTATAGGAGAGGGCAGAGACACAAACTACTGCTAGGAAAACGTGCAGTTAGAGTCATCTATAGATCTGAGAAACCAGTAAACAATCTGCCAATGTCCATCCAAAACTGAAAGGTTAATTGACTATTACTGTTTGTATAAATCCTGTGTTCATTTAGGCCGCATACCAGTTTCCTTGGTAACACGAGCAAATTAAGCTGTGGATGAGTTAGGTGTGACGGGCTCAAATGCCATTTAATATCATTACTTTAAAGCCCAATTGAACCTTCCGTTTAAAACAGCTAAATGCATTCCAGGTGCATCAGAACAAAAGGGGTTCAAGGTCTTACAGTTTGTTTTCTTTCCAAAGCAGCTACAGTTTGAGTAGAAAAGCCCATCCCCTGCCAGCAGCTGCAGGAGTCTCTAAGTTCCGACATACCCGCTGTGTCAGACCTATAGCTGTGCAATCAGCAAAGCTCATGATCCCAGCTGTTTGGAAAACTCTTGTTCTAACTCAACAGGGGGCGTGCAGAGAGACCACTGTTTGCAAAGGGTCCATCTCTGCAGAATGCTGGCAGGGGGTCCATCCCTGCAGAATGCTGGCAGGGGACAGGCTCTTTCTACTTAGACTGAGACTGCTTTTCTAAGAAAACAAACTGTAAAACTTGTAACATATTTTGTTTTGATGCACCTACAATGCATTTAGCTGATTAAAACTGAACATTCAATTGGGGTTTAAAGTACAACTCCAGTTTTGTAAATGGAAAAACAGTTCCCTCTAGGTCAGGGATGTCCAAACTCCGGCCCTCCAGCTGTGGTGACACTACAAATCCCATGAAGCATCTCTCTCTGGGAGTCATGTCTGTGGCTGTGAGAATCTTGCAAAGCCTCATGGGATTCGTAGTTCCACCACAGCTGGAGGGACGCAGTTTGGACATACGTGCTCTAGGTGATCTATTTTGCTAAATTGCAAGGTTTTTAGCAAACTTTGTTACAGAATAATACTTTGTTCAGTTCTGAAGAAATATTTGTTTCATCATCTGCTTTCTCAAAATGATTCCTGTATTGGAGGGTCTGCCCTCATTTTCACCTGAGCAACTCTCAGTGTACTAATGAGGAAAGCTGCTGCAGCATCTGCATCCCTTTAGAATTGGATGAGCCTCAGCCCTCTTGCACACGGGTGTATGAGGCTGTAGAATGTAAATTGGTGGCATATTTCCGCACCTAGGATACACAGCTGACTAGCTGTGTCCAGGGGTGTAGGGCTTTACACATGCATGGGTTTATACAAGTAGCAGCATCAATGGGCATACAGCCGCCAACACCTATTCATTATGATGGGAGGCTGTACGCCACAGTTGTGTTTCTTTGGTAAGGAAATACACCAGCAATTTACATTCTACGCCCTCAAGCGCCCATATGTTTGAGCCCTAAAAGAGATTACAACCAAAAACAAAATCCAAATAAAACAAAAACTTCACCGGTGATGCCTAAAATGTGACTAATTTCTCCAGGCATACTACTTAGAAAAGCAGCAAGCTAATCATACACACAGGAAATGAGAAACCTAGGGGTGTTCCGTACACTAAGGGTGTACAGAAAGCCTTCAGGTTGCCATATTGGAAGAAACCATCATTTGAATGTTTAGAAAATGACAGTGGCTGTAGATTGAAATGAAAGGTTAGTTTTAATAACAAAAGAAATTGTGTAGTAATTACATTTGTTATATTTACTTTTCAGACAAAGTTTTGCCTTTAAGAAACACCAAACTCTTGCCCTCGGAATCATCTCTAAGGCCCCGTTCACATTGCTCGATTCGAAAATCGCGCGTTTGTCGTGCGATTTGCATTTTGCGCGATATCGAGCAAATGCTTGCATTGAGCAAGCGAGAATCGCGTCAAAATCCGCTCCAAAAAGGGTCCTGCTGTAGCGACACACAACCCGCGACAGCAGGACCCTTTGCCCCATTGAGATGCATTGAAGAGCGATATCGCGCGGTAAATAGCCGCGATATCGTGAGAATTACCGCGCGATAAATCGATCAATGTGAACGGGGCCTTAGCTGCACTACAAGTGTACAATATTACACACATTACACTAAACAAGGCTTAATATAACACTTCCAAAATACACCATACACAAGCGACAAGAAAAAGTGATTGCCTTGTCAACTATCATAAGGTGCATAATATTATTACAAATATACTGTAATTATACTTAAAACATATGGAAGTCTTTAGACATATCACCTATTCATACCAGATTAATCTGAAACCAGAGGTAGGAAACGCTGGCAGTCCAGTTGTGGTTAAACTACAAATCTTATCATGCATTTGCTTCTGGTAATCATACCTGTGACTGTCAGAGTCTTGCAATGCCTCATGGGACTTATAATCCCACACACCTGGGGTGCCAAGGTTGCCTACTCCTGCTTTAAACTACATTTAGTGGTCTTTTAATATACCCTATGTACAACTCAACTATTCTAGATCTCCCAGAAAAAAATCTGCTCTTGTTATTGGACTTGGTTCTCACCTTTCCACAGCACGATCCAAGAGGTAGAAGAGGGCCTGAAGCACTGTGTGCTGAGCCTCTTTGCTGTTCTTTCTCGCTGGGAGGTGTAGTTTGGCAGTAAAGATGGCAATGGAAGCTCCAGTCGGAGCCCGTACGCTCTGGTTAAGGAAAATGTTTGAAGTTACTGACTGAATAGTATTACTGGCATATCATACACATCAGAGTGAGTTATCTTGTGGTCTACTTATGCAAGTTACATGTATATTGTATCCTGGAAATGTTATAACATTAGGGTGGTGACTGAAGGGCACATATCTCTATGAGAATGGCAGATGAAAAGATAGCTGCTCATCCTCACACAATACAATCCATTGTCAGGACCCGCTGCTATATTCTATCAAGGTAGCAGCACATGCAAGCTTAAGGTTTGATCCTTAACTCTTTTCCATAAAAAAGGAATGGTCAGGTCTCTCTTGCAGGGACATTTTACAGTACAATGGCTGGTTTTTCATATGCAATGGAATGGAAGCTCCCAATTCCTAGGTGGCAGACCTATGCTGTATATTTGAGATTTCTGCAACGGACTCTAAAAATATTTCTAACTATCTTGGCAGTTGAATATTTGGAATAAAGACCCTTTTTACAGCCCCTTTATAGACCCTTTTTACAACCCCTTTATAGACCCTTTTTACAGCCCCTTTATCACAAGGTTATATGCCGCTTGCATAGAACAAGTGCTTTGCTCTCTTTTACTAAATCCACATGATCACTCACCAGCACAGTGAACTTTCCACTCAGCAGTTCAGACAGCAAAGGTTCCTGTAGAGGATTCAACCGCACGATCCCTTCTCTCTGGCGCGTCTCCTAGAAAGTAGATATAGATGTTAGTAATATTTAATCATGTAAATAATCATTTGTATATTGCATATCTATAATGGAGATATCTGAACTAATAGAGCAGTAAACCTAAGGACATTGACAAGCAACCTATACTCTAAGCCAGGGGTGGCGAACTTCAGGCCCTCCAGCTGTGGTGAAACTACAAATCCTATGATGCATCAGTCTCTGGGAGTCATGCCTGTGGCTGTGAGAATCTTGCAATGCCTTATGGGATTTGTAGTTTCACCACAGCTGGAGGGCCGGAGGTTCCCCACCCCTGCTCTAAGCAATAGGCATTGGACATCAAGCTCTGTGAGAGAGACCAAAAATCCAAAGATTCCGTTTACAAAATGAATAACGTTATGATGGCGAGGTACAGAAATTAAATTGTTTTTGTCAGTCAAAATTTCTGTCGTAATTAAATATATATCAATTTTTAAAATGGAATTTTCTTTAACATAAGCAGCAGCAAGAGATTTACTTTAATTATTAATCACAATTTCTGTTCTTTCCTACTGTAAAAACATTTAGCCTATAACCAGCGGCCACATTTAATATCCAATGTATAAATTATTGGTTTAAGCTTAACAACATAGCACTCTATCAGTGATACACTTAATATATAGGTTTGGCCCCACCAGCCACACATACTTACCATCCCTTTGCTCCCTCGCTGCTCTGTTTGGCTGCCAGGAGTGGGGAAGAGTTAGCCCTGTACACTGAGTGGCCAGTTTATTATGACCACCTGACATTTGTAGGCAAATTAGCTATAATTAGCTATAATTTCGCGCTGAAGTTGCTAGAGGGCCAGACCATTATAAATAGGGAAGCAGGTTGTTTACCACGACAGTAGAAGTGATTATTTTCTGAAGATATGGGTAAACAACGCAATTTAACTGCCTTTGAACTTTTGATGATTGTTGGCGCTTGGAGCCATGGAGCGAGTATCAGCAAAACAGCAGAATTCATTAAATGTTCAAGAGGGGCTCATTGTTAAAGTGTTTAAAGACTGGACTGTCAGCCGAAAATCTGGGTCTGAACGTGCGAATTGTGGCCGTCAGCGACTAGTCAATGTTAGGGCAGAACGGAGAGGGGCAGGGCTGGTACAAGACAACAGAAGGGCAACAGTGCAGTGTCAGATTCCTCGCATCACCTTTCAACATCTCGAGGAGTCACAAGGCGGCCCAACTAAGTCATTTAGTGAAGTTATCTCGTGGCCCAACGAAGTACTGATGGGGTGGTCATAATAATCTGGCCACTCAGTGTATATGTTCCTAGTGAGGGCCATCCCTACCTTACATGCCGCCTCATGCCGTAGAGTGATGGTCAAAGGGGAGGGGGGTGATTTTGTTTGTGCTTTTGGGGGGCCTTGCTGATAGTGAGGGGGCAGATGTGGTGGCACGGGCGGCTGTGTTAGAGCCATGCTGCCAGCGGCTCTCTGTCCATCCACTGACCCAGCTCACTGACGTCACTATTTGCCAGGAGCTCGGCAGGACGCCAGCCATAGTGTCCCGCTCAGCTCCCTGGCAACCAATGATGTCAGCAAGCTGGGTGGGAAGCCTGAAAAAGAGTGTCACAGGTTGTAAGAGCTCTAAGCAACTTGGGACGCTGTGTTCACCTCCGACTGCCTCATTATGTGGACGGCCCTGTTTCTAGTTGCAACTTGGAGCTTACAAAGAGCTAAGGATTCATTCCCTGCCACCACATGACAGCATTGAGTGTGGCCAATCCAGTAACACACTATCACATCTGAAGGGATGTGAGTGAGTCATATGTTCCACTATACCCAGAAGTACCAGGTATTTGTTCATGCTCCAAGTGGCCAGAAATTAAAGGGAAGACAAGAATGTGCTGCTGATGCATCCATGACTAATCTATTGCTTTCCCATGCATTGGCAAACCATAGATTTACTTTAAGGAATACAAAAAAAGCTATGAATGTTAATGACTACTGTTTTAAACAGGTAAACACAACTGCATCCATATATTGTCCTTCAAAACCATCAAAAAATTGCAGCAGCTTTTCTTAAAATGATGCAATGTAATTCTGTGCAATCAGCAAAAAGCAGTTTTCGGTAATATTATTTACTAGAACATGACAATGCTTCACATCCTAAGATCACAGATTAAAACCACATTTATTTTGACATTTCAGATTAAAAATAAACCACAAAAATGTGCCTCTTTCTCTCGGAAACCAGAATGTATAAGGCTAGGACTACCCTGGTGATTTTAATCTCTTGCTGCTAAGATATTTTAACTATTTTCTGACATCTGAACAGGCTAGAGCCACACAGGAGATTTTTAGAAGCTCAGTCCTGATACTAAAATTCTAGCAATTTAGTCATTAGGTGTAGCAAATGATTGTTAAACAAATGGAACAAATGATTCCCTATGGAGCAGGCTGCACAAGTAGCATGTACCGGTAGTAGCACCTTTTAGCAATCAATTGCATACGGAATGGATTTGCAGTGTACATTGCAAATGGAGAATTGTGCGATCATAAAAAAATGAATTGCTACTATAATACATGCTGCAGGGAGGAGCCATTTGAGCCATTTGCCATTATTTGCTACAAATACAGAATAAAGCCCGACAGAAATAAAAAATGCTGTTTTACTTACCGGATCCCCGCTACCCCCTGCTCCCTCCAGGCTGCTGGATCGGTCCCCAGAGCATCTTTTCCCCTTCACTCCAGCAGTCTAAGGACCACTAATATCATCATGTATAATGCAGGCTCCATAGTCCTGGCTTGCACATAAAGACAACGAGGGACAGTCCACAGTGGGAGTGGAGGGGGGAGAAGAGAAGATCGCTGACTGTGGTGTGAGCGGGGATCAGGGAAGTAAAAAGCTTATTCCTGTACCCTAGGCATAAATGATCAGTTAACCCTTGCAGTGCGGGGACAGCTAACAATTTTAGTAGCAGGATTGAGCTACTAAAAATTTTCCCTGTAGATCTAGCCAATTTAGGTGACTGTCAGCAAATATTTACATCTCTCAGTAGTTTAATAAATAACCATTGCAACAAGGTTTTTGTCATATGCCTAAAAACTGTACTTCATGGTGACACTTCACATAGAGAACTGTGATAACTGGGAAGTGTCCCATATCTGGCAGATACACGCTGATAATACAGAGATAGATGGAAGGCAGCGATGGCCGTTATGTCTCCCTTACTCTGTATGAGTGGAACAGTTCTATGGCTCTCACAACATCGAATTTTCTTGCCATGAGAAATTTCACAGCAACATCCCAGGAGAGAGGAGGTACGGAGTGGAAGGAAGTCCAGGAATTCATCTCCTGCAGGAACCGTTGAGTAGCCTGAGGACAGAAATATAAGTAGGTAAGTAAAAATATCAGAGCAGAGAGGCCTGGGAAAGGAAAAATGCTCAATGTTGAGATCAGTAGAATTGATACAGTACTAAGAGTATACAATAAACAAAACTACTCTGTACAGCTGATTCATAATCCTGAAGAAAGACAACTTGACCTGTTGCCTGTAAAAACCAAACACTTTCCAGGGCTGCTTTTCTAGTGCAACGTCACAGTTCTCATTTGCTCTAAACCTGACCATAAAAGCTGACAACATGTATAGCTTGCCTACACAAATAATGCCATGTAAATGAATCATGTGCACCCTTCCTGCTTGTATACCAAAATCATTTTGAATTTATCATTTTGGCTTTTTCAATTATTTTGATTCGATCAAATAAACATAGTCCACAAACTTTCACAGGAAATAGTGAACCATTCAAATCAATCCTTAAGCTGGCCAATACACTCAGCGCATTTCACACAGTGGGTGCGTCTGTTAGCACCCTTTTGGCCGGCATCCCTCAAACGGCTGAGCCAGTCGGAAAATCTTCAAACGAACAGAGCGGGCAGCCAATGAGCTATCGGCACTGCACGGGTATTCTGACAGCGCCTGGCGACCACTGTTAGAGTACAATACAGACAACGGGAGATTCCTCAATTAACACTCATAAGCATTGATGGAGGGATATGTAATATTTTCTTTGTTCAGCCCGCAGGTTATTACATAAATAGCTTTAGTCCTCTGAAACTTATAGTCTAATTTACCTGCCATAGTCCCACCAAGCTTACACTAATACCAAGCCCAGCATAGTCAAGGGCCCATCTGCCTTCTGATTATCTTAAGCTGGCCATACACTAGTGGATTTTCCTTTGAAAAAAAGTTGTTTTCAGAACTTGATTCCATTTTCTAATAGTTAATGGGGTCAATTTGATAACAAAATAGAGCAAGCTGGAATTTTTTCCTCAAACAATGAAGTTTTGGCCAAAATCGAATGTTAAAATCAAACAAAATTTCAAACAACATTTACCAGGTTTCTGGTGGCATTATCGAATGTTCTGACCAGAATTTTGATGTGAATGTTTGTATGCAAATCTAACATTGCCAGCTTTAGATTGTTGGTGGAAACTAGATAATGAATACCCAACCAGCACAAAACAACCATGAGCACAGAACTTAGCTAAAGATTGCTGATCTGTGCACTTGGCCTAGCAACCTTAAAGTAGAATTGAAGCCAAATCTTTGGCTAGTTTTGGATTGAAGGGGAGGGAGTTATAAGTAGGGATGCACAGATACCGTTTTTTCGGCTTCGAGTACTGGTACTGGTATTTTTTTCCAGTACTCGCCTATATGGAATACCGATACCGGAAGTTCCATTAAGGAAGCCGGGTGGCATGTAACGGCTCACCGCCCAGTTTCCTGATTAGTTGGCATACTATCTCCATGCTCCCTCATCACCAGGTGACGAGGAAGCATGGATACGGCTTTCTAGCCAAGCAGGAAGCTGGGGGGCGCAGGTAATGACTTGCCATCTGGCTTCCTGATTGGCCAGCTTCCCGACCAATCAGGAAGCAGGGTGGCGAATCATTACACGGCTCCCGGCTTCCTGATTGGCCAGGAAGCTGGCTCCATGGTACCTCATCACCAGGTGACGAGGTAGCATGGAGCCGGTTTTTTTGGCCAATCAGGAAGCCGGGGTGGGTAATGACTCACTGCCTAGCTTCCTGATTGGTCAGCTTCCTGATAAATCAGGAAGCTGTGCGGCGAATCATTACACACCACCCAGCTTCCTGATTGCATGGGAAGCCAGCTTCATGCTCCCTTGTCACTAAGTGATGAGGGAGCATGGAGCCAGCTTCCTGGCCAATCAGGAAGCCAGCTCCATGCTCCCTGGTGGCAAGGGAGCATAGAGTCTGCTTCCTGGCCAATCAGGAAGTCAGGGGGCGAGTCATTACCTGCTCCCCGGCTTCCTGATTGGGTGGGAAGCCAGCTCCATGCTCCCTGGTGACTTCCTGATACCGAAAGTTCCAATATCGGGATAGGCATCAGGATCATTTGGGCGAGTATTCAACCAAATTCTCGGTATCGGTGGATCCCTAGTTAAAACCCTGTAGGCTTTTTTGTTTAACATCTATTTCCCATTGAGGAGAGTTGCCTTCACTTGACGTCCCATAGTCACAACAGGAAATCCCTACAGAGGCAAATCACTGGTGGCCAGCAGAGTCATCAGAACTAGTGTCTAGAGTAGTTGCCATCTATTTATGTTCTGGTGATAACCCAAAATGTGGGATTTTCTTTCACTTTCAGTGATAACAATCCCCAGGACAAATTCACAGCATGAATCTCTATAATGGGGACACACAATTCTTGCACACAAGGAATCTCAGAATAAAGCTTCATTAAAGGTTAATTATAATGCATGTTAACACAATTAAAGGTAACACACTGCAGATGTGTGTTGCAATGCATAATTAACTGCCCCATTCACATTTGTAGTGCACTGCAACACACCTGTTTTAGTACATCACAACATACAGATACTGTGCATTGTGTTACCTTGTGCTGCAGAAAAAAAAAGCAGGACCTACTTTTTGCACATTGAAATCCCATTCATTTTATATAAGTGGGCTAACACAATGCTCCTCAATGCAAAAAAATCACACACGTTGCAGCGCACTGCATTATAGCATGAATGGGTTCTTACTGCTCTGGTATGAAGTGTGAACACTGAATGACTGTACCTTGTAAGGATTACTCTAGCCAACTCATTGATTGTTGGATTGTAACTTAAGTGAAGGAATACCGGACAATGTCCACTTGGTATCTATTAACTCTTACCCATGTATGTTTTTGCCTTTGTGTACAGCAAGGAAGCCACAACCCAGGGGCGCACAAATAATTATTCAGGAACCAGTCTGTCCAATCCAGGAGCCTTCAGGATTTTTTTTAGGAACCAGCTCCAGTCTTAAGAGTTGGGCACCACCTGTAATTTTTAAGGAGCATTGGGTACTTGGTTCCTGGAATTCGTCCTGGCCTGCCATAACCAGAGCTTTGTGCAGCTACAAATCACAGGAGGGCCAAAGGAGACATTAAATAAATGAACAGAGCTAGTATTTTTCACTAAAGTAGCACTAACAGGTATACAGGTGGTACCTGCAGAAACAGCTGGGGGACACAGATGAAAGTGAAGACTCTAGACTGCAGGCCAGTCATCGCTATGCTCTCAAAGTATCCATATTGAGCTTGTACAACGAAAAAATGACTCATCTTTCTGTATGCTTAGCTAACAATGAGCCAATACAGCCACAGATACCTCACCTTAGTCTTGAAGACTGGTGGAAAGGCTTGAGCTGCCTAGCCATGATATCCGTTATACTCATCTGTTAACATTAAACTTGCCATGGCTAGTTTTACCATTAGGCACAGTGGGCATGTGTCTATAGGTGGCAGGGGCTAAGAGGAGTTTCTTGCATAGTTATTAGGCACTGCCCACATTCTCAGTAGAAGTAGATTGTAAAGCAGTTGATATACACATTGTCACAATATTGTAATACAAAAGTGCAAACAATAAAATAGGAAAATACAGTAGTGTGCCCCTAGATGGGTGTGGAGAGAGAGGGAGAGCAAGAGAGAGGGAGAGCAAGAGAGAGAGAGAGGGAGAGCGAGAGAGGGAGAGGGAGAGCGAGAGAGAGAGGGAGAGCGAGAGAGAGAGAGAGGGAGAGCGAGAGAGAGGGAGAGCAAGAGAGAGGGAGAGCAAGAGAGAGGGAGAGCAAGAGAGCGAGCGAGAGGGAGAGTGAGAGAGAGAGAGGGAGAGCGAGAGAGGGAGAGCGAGAGAGAGAGAGAGGGAGAGCGAGAGAGAGAGGGAGAGCGAGAACCATCAGAGCACAGTCCTCTGGCACACTTACAAATGAGGAAACTTTCTGCAGCTGCCCCTGTCTGCCTTACATCTTGTGTCCGGGTTTCATCTGCTATGAAACCCAGACACAGCATTCAAATCCCTGACAGGTAGCAACCCTTTTAACAGTGCATATTTGGTTTCTGTGGGTCACAATGCACTAGCTGCTATGTTATAGTAAGCATCTCTTCTTTCAGGGCTGGACAAATCCCAGGAGGCAGGTAGCCAATTTCAACCGGTGCCTAACGTTTGAGGTTTTCTCTAGTTGTTGCCAATGAAGCTGACTGCTAAAAAAAAAAAGTCCTGCTGCTTCTAAATTCCATATTCATTTGTGCACCCATGTCTTAATTGCAGGTACATAACACAGCTTAAAGTAGAAGTGAAGCCAAAACGTTTTTCTACAAGCAATGGTTATAGCCCTTGTTTAAAAAAAAAAAAAAAATGTTGCCCTCTCTGTCCCATTGAGGAGATTTCCCTTCACTTTCTGTCCAACAGGAAGTGAGGGGAAATCCCTCCAAAATTGAGGGGCATCCCTGTTGATCAGCAAGGTCACCAGAATTAGTGTCCTCATTGGAAGATTTCCTGCCTATGCCTGTTCAGATGACAATCTAAAATTTGGGATTTTCTTTCGCTTTTTCTGATAACGATCACCAGGACAAATAGAGACGGTGAATCTCTCTAATGGGGACAAAGTCAGCAATAAAAACCTGACCGGGGTTCTAATCCCTTCCCACGCTATCCAAAATGTAAACAATGTTTGGATTAATTTACACTTTAAAGAAGAACTCCAGGTAATGTTTCCATTACCGCTTGTAGTGGGGCTTCCCCTGCACTGTAAGGGTTAACTGCTCGTTTTGGTCTAGGACTGAAAATAACAAAGTTATACTCAGCCGATCCTCAGAGACGGCTCGCTCTTAGACTGGTCCCTGGAACGTCTCTCCCCCTCCGCTTCAGCAGTCTAAGGTCCCGTAAATCATCACGTCCAATACACTGTGTGTGTATTGGATGTGAGTAGGAAGAAACAGGCTGGAGGGAGCGGCCGGCCGGCTCCAAGCATCAGGTAAGTAAAACGTATTTTATCATATTATTGTTATTTTCAGCCTTAGACCAAAGCAAGCACCTAACCCTTACAGTGCGTGGGTTGCCCCACTGCAAGGGTTCATTTAAAAATGACCCGGAGTTCTTCGTTCATTCATATAATGGTTGGGCCTTACTCATAGCAGTTTGCATTGCCCATAGCAACCAGACACATTCCTAACCCCATTCACACTGAACGACATGGTGAATCGCGCGTTTTTCCAAGCGCTTCGGTGCTGAGCGGCATTGAGCAACAAAGTACGATATTGAGCGATAGTGCACATTTTAACGCGCTACGTAGCGTGGCTTTTGGGAGGGACTTCGTCGCTGCTACATTTGGGCTGTAACCGATCAACAGCGGCCTTGATGTGACATCATTCTTTCCTTCCATTTTGCAGTGCAAACGACACCATTGAGTCTATTGGAGCCGAATCGCGCGACATCCGCCAAAAAAAGGGTCATGTGCGAGCGACAAGCTTGAGTGACGAGCTACAGGCGACATTGAGCTGTGAACAGCTCCACTGAAATGCATTGGACAAGCTACATAGCGCGGAAATCGTGCGACAAACCGCTCAGTGTGAACGGAGTCTAACTCCCCTCTTTGGGTGCTATTGGACTGGTTGCTATGGAGTTACAAAATCCGCGTATACAATTGGCACTCTGATAAGCAAGGCAGACACGGTTACTAGCAATGGTACCAGGCAGACATTGTTAGGTGTATAGCCATTCACCAGATCATCCTGTCCAATCTAAATCGGATCCAAAACGCCTACAGTTATATGGAATTACATTCTGATTCGTCTGCTAAAACAACACAGTGATTTTTGTTCCCATTATGACTTTATGGTGTCAGGACATAGTACAGTATTAGGAACAACACATCTCACTGTCCGGGGACATGCTGTCATTTTATAAATTCTAAATACACTGCTGAAATGATATATATATTACATAAGAAGAACAGGCCAGCACCCTGCATAGTCCCTGACATATTATACATTTAATACATACACATAGAACATTGCATCTTATTACCTGCTCCTCTTCCTGTGTCAGTGCTTGTGCCATGCCTTGTGCCTTTCTCTCCTCAGTTCCTACTCCAGGCTGGGGATCCTGCAGGGCCTTGCTGTGTATGACTAGGCCTCTCTGCCACAACCATACAGCTGCCTGTGGATGGGAGAAGCAGAGGCTTTGGAGAGCGGCTAGCTGCAGATACAACACACAGATATTAAAGAGAGAAAAAAAAGTCATACAGAAGATTTAATATAAACGAAGCATTTTCTTAACAGGGGTGTGGGAAAAGGAAGCAGTCATAAAAATAGATACAGAGATCCAAAAGAAATCCATACACCCCCTCTAGTGGTATTCGTTAATCCTGCATGTTAATGAAAAGCAACACATCTTCAAGAATCATCAACTATGGGCTCCTTATAGACAGTTAATTAGATGAACGTTTCTCAATCATTTTTCAGTCACGGCACCCTTTAAAAGTATGAAAAATCTAGGAGGTGCCCAAGTTTAACATGCAATAACCTAAATGTAAAAACAATGTATGGTCCCTCCAAAATCCATGGCAGACCCTTATGTGAGATCAGGATCTGGTACTGATTTTAAGGGTGGATCCCATCCAAAAATACAAAAAAATAGGGTACCCCCTTCACATTACTAGTCATGCCTTTCACCTCAGAATCCCCCTTCACGTCAGGAGCCCGTTCTTTCAGATCAGAGTCACCCCTTCTCATACTAGGAACCCCTCTTTCACATCAGAGACCCCTTCCCATCAAAAGGCCCCGTCATGTGAGATAGGGGTTTGGTATTTCGGGGGGGGGGGCTCCAGGCAAAAACACAA